TAAAACACCATTATGAATCGTGTGTGTTACGTTTTTACGAATTAATTTATTATAAAAATTTTATATAATCTACCAAAACAATTCAAATGAGATTTTAAAGAATTTTATTTTTGGTACATCTAATGAAGGGTTACATAATGTACTTTTCTTTTCCAATTCTCTCCCTCCATCTTGTTTACTTATTTTTATCCAACCAAACCTTTAATTGGACACATTATAATCGAAGGTCTTTGATTTTTTATGATATATAAGTTAGGCCTAGGTAAGAAAGCCCGCAACCCTGCAACCGTTTGGTGGGCCAAAAAGTGACCCGAAGTTTGGATTTCAGGTTGGTTGAAATGAGCTTTAGGCCCAAAATGAGAGTTTCGGTGCAAGCTTAAATATTTTCGTGCTAGTGTTCAATGCCCAACCCCAGAACCTATCAATCAAACTGTGGCACTAAACAACCGAGCCTTCTTTCAATTTAAATATTACATTTTTTAATTTTCTCCCCATTTTTTACGCATGTGACACGCCTACAATACATAGTGTATTTATTCTGTTTGACTTTCATACTTTCATAATTTTATTTTCAAATTAGCGCAAAATTCGACCTGTTCTCTCCTAAATTTCTATTCAAAATCCTAACCCTTTTGTGACATCCGCTGGCGGTTAAGGAACCGATGATTTCCACAGAGAAAGATGAGATGAGGAAATGGTCAAGAAGCACGAGATCCCAGGGGACGACGATAGGGCTGGTGCCCACCATGGGTTACCTTCACCAAGGCCACTTATCGCTCGTTGAAGAAGCCCACAAGTATGCCGAGGTCACTGTCGTCTCCGTATATGTGAACCCAGGTCAGTTCTCTCCCTCCGAGGACCTTTCCACTTACCCATCTGATTTTCACGGTGATATACTCAAGCTCAAGTCTGTTCCTGGGGGTGTTGATGCTGTTTTTGCTCCCAAGAATCTTTATGGTTATAGGGAAAATAAGAAGAGTGAGATTGATGTTGATGTGGAAAATAAGAATTCTTGCAAGAAAGGGGTGGTTTCATGTCTGGAGGAGAGGGGACTTGGGCACGAAACATGGGTTAGAGTTAAGAGATTGGAGAAAGGAATGTGTGGGAAAAGTAGGCCGGTGTTCTTTAGAGGGTTTGCCACTATTGTCACCAAGTTGTTTAACATTGTGGAGCCTGATGTTGCTGTATTTGGGAAGAAGGATTGTCAACAATGGCGGATTATTCAACGAATGGTGAGACATTTTACTGTTCCTAATCCTTTGTTTTTGGCAAGAATGATGCGAATGATGGTAATGGAAATCAATAATGAATTACAGTGTTAATTTGATAGCTTATTTTTCTTAGTTTGGCTTGATTTCTACAGGTTAGAGATCTAGATTTTGACATAGAAATTGTGGGGTCTGATATTGTGCGCGATAGCGATGGCCTTGCATTGAGTTCGCGAAACGTCCTTCTCTCCCCAAAAGAAAGGGAAAAGTTTTTCTCAAAATCCCTTGCACTTTTTTATTTTTTAAATCTTGAGGCATTCTAATAGTTTCTTACAATATCCCATGTCATGTCTAAAGGACAGGATTCTAGTTTTTTATTTTTTATTTTTTCCACAAACCTTTTGACGGAAAGCATTTTGACAAGATTCTTAACTTGACAATTCCAAAGCAAATTATTTTGGTTAAATATCTTTTTTGTCCCTTTACTATAGAAAAAAGTCTTTTTTGGTCTTTGTATCGAAAAAATATCTTTTTTAGTCCCTAAATTTTAAAATCTGATCCTTTTTTGATCCTTCCGTTAAATTTTGCTGACGTGGCATGTTATCTTAACAACAACGTCCGACATGGACATTCCACCCTGTAAAGACACTTATGTGGACTTTAATGACTCACTTAATGACTCTCCCACAAACCCTAATAAGTGTTTGCAGTTCCCTCTTCAGCTATCATCTTCCTTCTTTCAAAATTCTTATTTTTCATTTATAATCAATCTTTTATATATGAGATTGGTCAAGATATAATCCATCCACAACTCATAAGAATATTTTCGTTGTTAAAAATAAAAATTAATTACTAATTAAAATAATTTATTAATACTTTAAACATTAATTTCTCCTCTACAAAACAAATCCTTCACTCTGCAAAACAGATCCTTTACTTTACTCATAGCAACATGAACACAACAACATCAACCTATTACCTATAATTTCAAACTTAGATATCAAATCCAAATATCGAATACATCTTAACATTGAATTTTGGTTTCATTCAGCTCATTTCTGAAAGATATATACATTCAAAATTAAAAAAAAAAAATGAAACAAAAAAGAGGATCGGAGGAGCCCAAATCTAGGTTCCGCCGGAAACCCAGAAACTAGGTTCTTCGGGGAACCCAGCAACTGGGTTCCTCACGGAACCCAATATGATGAAGACTCGAAGTTGAAGAGGATGGTGGATGCCGAGGATGAGAATGAAGAGGAGGATAAGGCTGAGGATAAGGCTGAGGAGAAAGAAGAAGGGAAGAAGTTACAGTTAATTTCGTTTAAATTGTTTTTATTCATGGATTAAAAAGTTTAGGAGAAAAAAATATTTAATTCCGTTAATTAAAATATTTAGTGTTTTTTTTTTGCCACGTGGTATTAAAATATTTAAATGAAATATTCACGTAATTTCTATACCATTTATAATATTATTTATATAAAAAATAATCAATTAATTCCGTTAATTAACGTGATACATCAATAAAAATTTAACAGAAGGACCAAAAAGGAGTCATATTTTAAAATTTAGGGATTAGAAAAGAGATTTTTTCGGTATAGGGAC